TCAGCTCGACCTAGTAGCTATTATTATATATATATATATTTATTTTATTTTATTTTTTATTTTTTTTAAATTAACTCAGCTTACTGGTTGAACCTTCCTTTTCCTTTTTCTTTCTGTTCGGATTGCAATCACCCTCAACTTAGGCTTTTGGCCTGAGTTGTGATATCGTGTACCTTCGAAGAACCAAAGATTTGATACATATTGGGTAAGAACAAAGACTGATTTAAGGCTCAAATTGGGTTCAAGTGATAAGCTTTTCATTTGGTTATTTTATTTTTGGCTTTTTACTAGTTTAACAAAAATGGCCTACTGATCCTTTCCTAACCGATTGTTTTCAAATTCAAGCAAGACTACTTTGGCAAGTTCTAGTTTCTGCTCCTAGTGTTAGACTTCAATCAAAACTTACTCACATACTACACAGGATTACATTTTTTTTTAGTTTCTTGTTTCACCAATTAATTGGTCAGATTAGCCACTTTCAACATATCAGTATCTAAGATGTCATCTAAAGATCCTAACAGTCAAACTCAGATTTAGGTCCTCAATATTCACAGAGTAGCTGTTGCACAACTCAATACATAAAACACCCAACACAGTAATACAAAGAGACAACCTCCATTTTTCTAACAACTATGGCCGGCTGCTAACCACCCTCTCCCCAAATAAAAAGGACTTTGTCCTCAAAGTTGAGATAAAACAATCAAATACACAGTCTATGAGGAAGGGTCATACCTGCGGCGCTCTAGACGCCGGTCATCGTATCAGCATTGACACCCTTATCAATAGGTGCACTCTTAGGTCTCAGGGTATGATCAGTGTGGTCCTCACTAGTCGAAGCAGGTGCACCACTACGAGAAGCTCCAACTAAGGCTGCATCTCGCTGTTGCTGGTCAAGGGCTTCCTTCTCCCTAGCTTCCCTCTTTGATGCTTTACGAGCTCTCTTTTCTTGCCATTTTGCCTCTCTAGCGGGATCAGTAGGGGTCTCCTCATCAAGTTCTCCAGCTATATGTTTTCTTTTATTGGATTTACTTGCAAGGGGTGCTCCCCAAAGATCATCGAGTGTTTGAGTGGAGGGTGCCTTACTTAACATTTGCATCAACGACTCTGGCATGACCGGAGTGGGCACATGTGTTGGCTTTTCAGCCAGCTTAGCAATTTGAGTGCGCATTTCAGCCAACTGGGCTCTGAATTCTTCAGTATCTGCTGAACCAGTAGCCTGGAAGCGATCCTGAACAAGGTTCTCCAAACCATCCATTATGTTCTTTAAGACTGATAGCTCCGTCCTCATCTTATCTTTGATCTCTTTTTTCGCAGCTAATACCTTTGTCTCTATCAGCTAGGGCATCCGGAGCACAATTTGGTCTACCAATGTCCTGGTCTGGCGCTGATCTGCAACCAATTTCTCAAGAAAAAACATAGGGATAGTGATAAAGGTACCTGGAGTCTGAGAGGCTGAAGCTAGAGGTGATGGTGCCTCTGTGGATGGTTGTGATGACTCTCTCTTTTCTGGATCTCTACTTGCCTGGGGGATATCAAGTGGGACATGTGGAACAAAAGCTAAAGTACCTACAACGGCAGATTTCGCGCCAAAAAGATGGTTCGCGACATCCTTGATTTTTGAAACCTGGGTTAGTCTGAATGCTTCATCCATCTGTCAACTAGGCTGTTCGGACGAATATTCGCTCCTCGACACAATTTTTCTATTAGACAGGGAAAATGAAGTGCAGCTCTCTCATTTAACGCCCTGTCTCTCATCTCGACTGCTATTATCCGTCCTGCATTGACCTGGTAACCTACCATAAGACATGCTACTAACGAGGCCAGGGAAGGGGACAGAGTGTTATCATTAGCTTTCGGTCTCAATTGCGCTCGGACAACAGCCCACCAAACCTTGGCCAGGAAAGATAGCGAAACTTTAGTGATAAGTGTTGGAGTTGTGGTGACCGAACCTGCATTTTCCCCATCTATGGCAATTTTCTTCGCAATCCAGCGTAAAACCCTTTCTCGAGAAGTCTGATCTTCCATTGTAGCATCACTGGTGACCTCATGATGTTTGCCCTCGAAAAGGCCTACTGAAACGGGTGCAGAGTATTCTGGGCCGTACAACATTCTGTTAATCGACGCCTCAGAAATATCTATTGATTTTCCCCTAACTATGATTGAGTTGAGTGGACCCTAGGTACTAGCCATGTCTTTTTGTCCCCGCTTCGTGGTCTCTGTATCCACATCAAAATTCATCAATGTAGCTGCATAAGAGGAATAAAATTCTCTGGTCAGGTGGCTAGAGTATTCACCAGGTGCATAGTCCATCAAATTGAACTGATGGAGCTGAAATATCTGATAGATGTCCGAGAATGCTTTGACATCAGCTACCACCACCCTAGTCTCAGGCATAATTGCTCGATTCTTGAAACCCCCAGCTTTATTCACAATACCATTGTCGAAGAACTCTTTAGATCTATTGACAGTCCACATGGAGCGATAACAAACAATCAGTTGTGGTCTCAATGCAGGGTTAGGTTCCTGTGCGTTCACATACATCACCATGGTATCATCATTGGTGATTTCCTCCTCATCCTCTCTATTAACTGTTTCCTCTCGTACTCCAGTTTTAGCTTCTGTGGCAGCCACAGGTGAAGAATTACTTATGTCGGCCTGAGAACCGCTGTCAGATTCAGCACTGTCCCCCGAGTCATCTACAGATTGGTTACCAGTGGCAGTATCAGTTGGACTTCCCAAGTTTTCCCTATTCTCGGAACTACTACCTCTCTCTTCAGATTGAAGAGGAGAGTCCTGGAGAATAGCTCTCCTAGCCAATGATCTAGTAGCTCGAGGCGAGTGATCTTCAGGTGTAACATTTATTTGCACCTCAAACCCACTCGCTTCGGAGTCGCCATGACCCTCTGATTGTGAATCGGTGACAGGAGCAGGTTTGTTAGCATTCTTCTTTCTGGGACCCATTGTACCTGAGAAGCACAACACCAATTCTGTACAATCATTAATAAAACGACAAACTAGCGGGTACTCAGACTTCCCTTGTGTAATATTATCGTGACGCCTTGCCTTAAGAATGTCGTCGCCCAATCTATCATCGGGAAGGGCCATGGAATCACAATATTAACAAAAACTAAATACCTAAAAATACAAACAAGGGAACACTACGAGCACTTGAACGAGCCGTGGTATAAACCACAGACCGTGATGTCCCTCGTGGAGTTTAAACAGGATCAGAGTGCACAAGGAATTTCTGGCCATTTAACCAATGGATGTTAACGGAAGGTTTCACGGCCCGTGGAGTGAACCACAGTTCGTGATACTGCCCGTGAACTTTAACTGAGGACCACTGAGGGCTTGGTTGATTTTCAAGTGTGGTTTATGACAAGTTGCACGACCCGTAATGTCTTTCACGGTCCATACAACCTGCCGTAGTCTTACACTAAGAAAGAGGTCAGTCATCGTCCTCCCAATATCCAATTTTTTTTGCACATAATCCCTATTGTTGTACAAATACAGTCTCTTCTCATAATTTAAATCCTACCCTACTACTTATTCAACTAAATTAAGTAACCCAAATTTCACTACCTGACCTACAAATTTGACCCTCCTGTGATCGACCAACACACAAAAATAACTACAAATTTCCAATTTCGACTTACCCACTCCAAGTAAGTAATAGTTTAGCAATTAATCATCACAAATTCATACTGAAGCCAAAAAAATCGAAGTCATTATAGACAAGATGTGACGGTGTAAACTATTGAAACTCAACTTACTTGGCTTGAAGAAACCAAAAACGGGAAATAGCTGGACACACTTGCACAACTGAACACTTAGGGTTTGGATTCTTGGGTAGATGTAGGATTTATTGATGAATGATGATCAATTCTTCCTTAGATAACTGTCGTGGAGGAGAAAAAGAGAGAAACTGATGTTTTGCCATTTGGAATCAATAAATACGTTTTAATTTCTGAGTTGGGTTACGCGCAGGTTGAGTCGGGTCATCGGTGTTACTGGGTAGTAGATTACGGGCCGTGAAACTTCTCGTGGAAGATATCACGGTCCATGGATCTATTTGTGACATTACCCTGGAAATGAAACTTACCTGATGCAGACGACGGACCGTGAAGTTGCCCGTAAAAGAAATCACGGTCCGTGAAACTATCCGTGATGTTGACTTGGAACTGAGACTCCTACCTGAGGCTCACGAGAGGTTAGACGGCTTGTACAATATATGACGGACCGTGAATCCCTCCGTGAACCCTATTTATGCAATTTCCAGTAGCTTCCAAATTTAGTCCTCAATTTGACGAATCATGATAGTTCCCGTGAAAATCTCTACGGTTTGTGAACCTGACCGTGACGTTCAGTCTGCACCAATTTCTGCATTTTCCCCTTTTTCTCTCCTGCACACCTCACCACACAGTGACTCTATAAAAATAAAAAAAATAAGGAAAACAAGAATATACCTAATATAATTACATCTTGGGTTGCCTCCCAAGCAACGCACAATTTAACGTCGCGGCGTGACGCAGGTTACTTGATTACTCAGACTTCATCAAGTTTACATTCCTCCACAATTTTCACATCCTCAGGAGCACCCAAGTATGCCTTGATTCGCTGACCATTAGTTTTGAACCTCTCTCCTTTCTCATTTTCCAATTCAATAGCACCAGATTGAAAAACCTTTGTGACTTTAAAGGGTCCAGACCATTTAGACTTCAGTTTTCCTGGAAACAGACGCAGTCTGGAGTTGAAAAGTAACACCAAGTCACTAGGAGTAAAGCTCCTTTTCTCAATATTCTTGTCATGATATAGTTTCATCCTCTCCTTATACAGTGCAGCCCTCTCATAGGCCCTCAGACGAAACTCATCCATCTCATTGATTTGATCTAGCCTCAAGTTTGTGGTTTCGCTCCCATTTAGATTCAGCTTCTTCAACGCCAGAATGCTCTATGCTCAAGCTCAACTAGTAGATGACACGCCTTTCCAAACACCAATTGTTATGGAGACATACCAATAGGTGTCTTGAAAGCTGTCCGATATGCCCATAGGGCATCATCTAGCTTCCGTGCCCAATCTGTCCTGTTGGCATTCACTGTCTTTTCCAATATTGTTTTAGTTTCCCTGTTGGAAACTTCCACTTGACCACTCGTTTGTGGGTGATAAGGTGTTGCCACCTTATGCTGTTTTACTCCATACTTGGTTAGAAGTGCACTAAAGACTTTGTTGCAGAAGTGAGACCCACCATCACTGATAATGGCTCTGGGTGTTCCAAACCTTGAGAAGATGTTATTTTTCAAGAACCCAACGACACTCTTTCCATCATTCTCAGATAATGCAACAACTTCAACCCATTTTGACACATAGTCCATAGCCACCAGTATATATTTCTTCCCATATGAACTCACAAAGGGACCCATGAAGTCAATACCCCACACATCAAACAATTCCACCTCTAGAATAGGTGTCATGGGTAACTCACGGCGACGAGAGATGGCTCCTTGCCACTGGCACACATCACAACTCCTTACTATATCCACTGTATCTCGATGAATGGTAGGCCAGTAATACCCACACTAAAGTATCTTGTGAGCTGTTCGAGCACTACCATGATGACCACCAACTGGAGATGAGTGACAGGCCTCCAAGATATGCAACATTTTGGCTTCCGGAACACAATACCTAATTATATTGTCAGCACACACCCTGTACAGATATGGTTCATCCCAAAAGTACTTGTCTACATCATGCAAGAACCTTTTCCTTTGCTGATATGTTAGTCCATTGGGCATTAAGTCACTGACCAAAAAATTAGCGTAGTCAACAAACCAAAGAATAAGGTCAAAAGTAGCAGCTAATACCTGCTCATCCGGGAATATGTCATCTATATCGAGCCAAGTTCTTCCTTCTTTGTAGCTTCCAACCTAGACAGGTGATCAGCTACCTGGTTCTCACAACCTCTCCTGTCTTTCACTTCGAAGTCAAACTCTTGAAGAAGCAATACCCATCTGATCAGCCTAGGCTTGACATCTTTCTTTGCCATGAGATATCTCAAAGAAGCATGGTATGTGTGAACTATCACTTTAGTGCCCAGAAGATAAGCTCTGAACTCTTCAAAAGCATACACTACAATTAATAGTTCCTATTCAGTGACTGTGTAGTTTCGCTGTGCCCCATTTAGCGACTTACTAGCATAGTAAATCGGATGGAACATCCTGTTGCATTTTTGTCCTAACACAACTCCTAACGCAGTCCCACTAGTATCACACATCACCTCAAATGGCTCCGCCCAGTCTAGGCCAATAATCACTGGTGCTGAAATCAGTTTCTCTTTTAGGCACTCAAAAGCTTTAAGGCATGTCTCATCAAAGACAAATTTCACCTCTTTCTCTAAAAGCTTGCAAATGGGGGTGTGCAATTTTTGAGAAGTCTTTGATAAAACGCCTATAGAATCTTGCGTGTCCTAGGAAGCTTCGAACACCCTTCACACAGATTGGCGGAGGTAATTTTTCAATCACCTCAATCTTAGCCTTGTCGACCTCAACTCCTTTCTGTGACACCTTGTGTCCATGGACTATGCCCTATTTTACCATGAAGTGGCACTTCTCCCAATTTAACACTAAGTTGGCTTCCTCACATCTCTGTAAAGCCCTGCTAAGATTCAACAAACAGTAATCAAAAGTATCGCCTACTACAGAGAAGTCATCCATAAATACCTCTAGAGTGTCCTCAACCATGTTTGAAAAGATGGACATCATACACCTTTGAAATGTGGCTGGTGCATTACATAGTCCAAATGTCATGCGTTTAAATGCAAAGGTGCCATAAGGACATGTGGAGGTGGTCTTTTCCTAATCTTTAGGTGCAATTGATATCTGGTTGTAGCCAGAGTATCCATCTAAGAAACAGTACCATCCTTTACCTGCCAACCTATCAAGCATCTGGTCCATGAAAGGCATGGGGAAATGATCCCTCAAAGTCCACTTGTTCAACTTATGTAATCCATACACACTCGCCATCTAGTGACCGGTCTCTGTGGGACTAATTAATTCTCGGCATTCGCTACCACAGCCATGCCTCCCTTTTTAGGCACACTTTGTACTGGATTGACCTAGTGACTATCAGAAATAGGGTAGACCACCCCAACATCTAACTATTTGATTATTTCTTTCTTAACGACCTCTTGCATAGGTGGGTTCAACCTCCGTTGGTGTTCAATACTCGGGCTGCAGTCTTCCTCAAGCTGAATTTTATGCGTGCAAATACCTGGAGGTATTCCAATTATATCAGCAATGGTCCATCCAATGGCTCTTTTGTATCTTTTTAGCACCTTGATCACCTCTTATACCTGCTCTTCATTCAAATCTGCAGCCAATATCACATGTAAAGTGTTATTAGTACCCAAGAATACATACCTGAGGTGATTGGGTAACTGTTTCAGCTCTAACACTGGTGGCTCCTCAATGGATGGTTTTGCTGGAGGCTTGGCATGTTTTTCTAGTCCAAGTCCAATTTGTTTGGCGCATACGAATGTGTTCCCATACCCTGCAATGAATTCACGGTCTCTACATAGTCAGACCGGAAATCCACACCAAAGTTCATCAGTACTGTTGTTAATGTTTCAACAACCATTCTCTCTTCTATAGGTACCCTCATGTCTTTATCAATGACCATCTTTATTACAGATATCACATTCATATCTCGTGGTTGTTTTATTGACCTGCAAATGTTGAACCTTACCTTATCTGTGTTGAGTCTGAACTTCAACTCTCCTCTCTCAACATCCACTAAAGCCCTTCCTGTGGCCAAAAAGGGTCTTCCCAAGATTATGGGAACCTCAAAATTTACTTCGCAATCCAGAATCACAAAATCAGCTGGAAAGATGAAAGTGTCCACCTTTACCAGTACATCACATATGATTCCCAGTGGCCTCTTTACTGACCTATCAACCACCATCAACCTCATTGATGTATATTTTAGTACTCCCAAACCTAACTTTTTATAAATGGCTAAAGGCATCAGATTTATGCTAGCTCCCAGATCACATAAAGCTTTTGCAAACTTGATTGACCCAATGGTGCATGGTATTGTGAATACACCTGGATCCTCCTTTTTCTGCACCAGAGATCTGGTAGTAATGGCACTGCAATGATGAACATCGTTAGAGAAATCATGACTTACAGTTCTTTTCTTGGTGACCAAGTCTTTCATGAACTTGGCATATCCTGGCATCTGCTCTAGGGATTCAACCAATCGAATGTTTACTGAAAGTTGTTTAAGCATGGTGAAGAATTTCGTAAACTTTCCATCTTCAGCTTTCTTTTTGAGCCTTTGAGGGAAAGGATGAGGTGGCCTGGGAATTTGCTGTAAGGGCAGGTGTTCCTGAACCTCTTTCTCTTTTCCTCTCAAATGTTATACTTTAGGTTGAGATTGTTGAGCCTCTCCTTGATCATCTACCGGTATATTCTCATCCTCCTCTCTGCTAGCTTGCTCCAAGACCTGTTCATACTTGGTACCTGCAGAAGAAGGGTCAGAAAGAACTTTACCACTCCTGGTGGCGATGGCGATGCAGTGTCCTTTCTTCTTAGGATTTTGAATGGTATCAGTTGGTAGTGATCCGTTCTTTCTCTGATTCATTGAGGCTGAGAGTTGCCCCAACTGCTGCTCTATTTGTTTAATGGAGGTGGTGTGAGAGTCCACCAACTGACTCATGCTCGGGAAGTCACCTCTCATTTCTTTCACCCCTGCATCGGTTGACTCAACCTTCTGAAGTACCTTAGCCATCATGTCCTCCAGCTTGGAACCGTTAGAACTACCACTCACCCGGTCTCTATTACCTGGAAGTACATATACACCACTGCGGTCATTCCTATACCCCTCTCTGTTTTGCCAGTTTCTTTGATCTCTATTTGTTGGCCTTTCATACTGACCATCCCTAGCATAGCTCCTACCTGCATTTCCAGAATTGTAACCTTGATTTCCAGAGTTATATTTCTGAAAACCTCCTTGATTCCCCGAATAGTTATCTTCCTCATCAATGTCAAGATCCTGATCCTCATACATGTGCTACTGTCCCACAACATTCACCTTTTCAGACTTGGCAACAATGTGCTTTGTAAGCAAGTCTATTTGAGTCCTCATATGTGCCATGTCTTGGTCCCTTTCTTCTTCTCTCTTCCTTTGTTAGCTGAAAGCTCAAATGTATACCCGAGCTCTCCTACCTATGCATCTCTAGTGTACCATGCTCTGTTGTTCTTTGAGACCTCATCTAATAGCTGCATGCTTTCTGCAAATGGGTTTCTCATAAATGAGCCTCCACAAACTGCATCAACAACAGGTTTAGTAACATAATTCAGAGACCTATAAAAGGCATGTTTAAGATGCCTTTCGGTAAGATCATGGTTGGGGCATTTCTTTAACTTTTGGCTGAACCTCCACCAAGTATCATGCATGGCTTCTCATGGTAGTTGCTTGTGTGTACTAATCTCGTCCTTCATCTGCAGCTCTTTTGATTCTGGGAAGAATCGTTCCAGGAAAGCTTCCTTCAACTCATTCCAAGTTCTGATGGAGTCATCTGGCATCTCATTCAACCAGTTAGTCGCCTCTCCAATAAGAAACAATGGAAACAACCTCAATCTCATTGCTATTTGATTTACCCCAGAAATCTCTTGTGACTTACAGATAGCCACAAAGTTCACCAAGTGCTGATTTGCATCATCACCAGTTGCACCCCTAAACTACCCTTAAGATTCAACAATTGAATCATAGTGCTGGTGATTGTGAACTTAACACCTGGAGGTAGTTCAGGTAACACTATCGCTCCAGTGGCTCCAGCTCCATCCAAATCTGCATCATCTTCATCATACATCATGTGTGCTGGATGCTGAGCTCTACCCCTTGGAGCTATTGGTTGGCGCTGGGGAGGGATCAATCCATCCACTCCTCTATTCTCATCTACCACCCTAGGTTGGTTGTTGCCACCGTTCTGCTGAACACCTCTTGCTGCAGCTTCAGCTTTTAGTCCCAACCTTTGTCTTTGTGCCTCCAGTTCTTGTGCATTCAACATTTTTCGAAGAGTCTTTTCGAGTTCTGAGTCGTAAGGGATCAATGACCTCCTTTACTCCTGGTACTTGGCATACACAGTAGCACTCACCTGAAAGAGACACAAACACAGAACAAAACGTAAAATTAGGAAATATAACTACAAATTGAATAAAAGCTAGTAAAACATTTATGAATTGAAATTCCCCGGCAGCGGCGCCAAAATTTGATACGTCCAAACTTACACCCCAACTAAGGAGTGTAAACGGTCGTTGTCAATTTACAGAACTCAACCACAGTTGAGGTCAATCCCACATAGAATTTCTTTACAGATAAAGTTTCACTGTCGTGTTTACTCAATTTTTGTTACTATTTCCTAAACAATTAACAAGAAAAGTAAATTTGGGTCTGATTGAAAAGTATTCTAACAAAACTTAGTTACACAGTTCACAAAAGATCTCATTGTAAGTTGATTCAATTAATTTAAGGAAACCAGGTGTTGTGTTCACTATGACATCAATTATAATGCTCTCCCGTAAATTTAGTGTTAGGTAAGTCAATATTTACAGAACCTTTGCGAATTAAATAAATCTAACGCTTCTCAGCCTAATCAAATAATATTCACTCTAATTCTCTTGAACGTAAAGTGTTATAGATATTGGACTTCGCTCAATTTCATATGGTGTTAAAGATCTCTTCTCTCGAAATATTACTTTAACTCCAATCCGTAAACTTAGTTTAGCTTTTTCCCAGCTAATGTTTTTCTCTCGAACAAACACCAGATACAGGCCTGTCTAAAGCGTGCACTCAATAGACGGAAATGATAATGGAAGCTGTAAACTACAGGTTGTAAACAAAGATTGCCTTTTACTTATTTTACGGAATCGCAACTAGAATGTCATCATAGATCCCACACACCCAGTAGTGAATTTTAGCCACTCATGTTTTTACGCAAAGAATCAATACTGTATAATGGAAACATGTTATGAGGTACTTACAAAAATAACTGGTAAATCAACAACCATTTGATAATCTCAAGATCGAAATGAACAACTTCCAACTGATCATAATAATCTGAATCCCAAAATCCCAAAACTAAAAGTAATCCACCGTCATTTGTTCTCTAAAATGTCAGATACCCGATAATGCCTTCAAAAACGACCTAAAGTAATTTCAAAATAGAATGTTTAAAATGAGTCCTAATCAAATTAAGACTGAATTATTGGGTCTTGTCACGGCCTTTACCACGACCCGTCGAGGTCTTCACGGCCCGTGAAGACCTCCGTGGTCTTGCCTTGGAGCATCCCCAGAGTGGGTCTTCAAACTTGGTCATTGGAAAATGTACCACGAGAGCTACCACGGTCCGTAGTGATGACCACGGCCCGTGAAGTCCTCTGTGGTCTTGCCTTTGAGCTTCCACAGAGTGGGTCTTCAAACTTGGTCACTGGAAAATGTATCACGAGATCTACCACGGTCCGTAGTGAGGACCACGGCCCGTGAAGTCACCCGTGGTCTTCACTTCGGCTTCAACCTTCTTTCATCTCTTTCCTACTTTTATACTGGTTCAACTTCACGGTAGGTACCATGGTCCGTGGTAAGAACAACGGCATGTATACCCCTCCGTTGTTCTTGCTCTTTATCTTCTCAAGGCCCAGTTTTGCCCCACTTTCATGAGCTCAACCACGGACCGTTATGAAGGTAACTGTTCGTTACATCGAACACGAACTTCACTTGGTCGACATCAGTTCTGCTTCATTTTCTGTACAACCCAAAATCTGCCTACACAATTAACAAACCCATAAAATAATCCCAAAATATCATTTAATTCCAGTATTAGTTCATAGTTATTAAGCATCAGATGTGCCACGATTTCGAGGAACATCAAGTGTCAAGACATTCTTCCATGAATATGCACTTATTTCAAGACTTAATATGTAATCTATGGGAATTCATGCTTAGCACTGAGTGGATATGAATATGAGATGGAAGCTTATACGATAGTTGAGTCCGGCTTTCCAAATGAGATGGAAACCTTCTACCTTAGTTGAGTCCAGGCTTCTAGAAGCAATCTCCTTATACCATATACTATGTGCCCACATAGGTCTTTAACTAGTGGATCCACCTAACTTAAGAGTATGGTCCTACCTTAGGCAAGTAGAACAACCCCTTTACGGTGTGGGGTAGAAACCAGATTCCATGTTAGCTCACATGGTCTATGTCGGTTAAGGCTTATTTCCACTAGTACAATAATATGAACAAGAATATGAAATATGGACTATGGTTACTTAAGAAGCTTTACTTCATATGGGTGAGATTATGGGATTTTACTCATGCATTGCACAAGTATGATTTGAAGGTGTCTATGGTATGTCCCTTTTATGATGTGATGATCTATGAGTTGATGTCACGACCTGAGAGCACCCCCTAGTCGTAACACCGCGTACTTGACCCCGAAGGGGTCTCATACAATCCCTTAGTATATTCGTCATAACATAAGACATATAAAAATTGCGGAAATTTAAAACTTTTCTTTACAATTGAAGTCTCTTATAAAAATGAAAGAGTATCTATGACACTATGTCTCAAACCATCTCATTACTTCGGATAAAACTCTTGAATACAAAACTTAGGGACACGACCCTTACAAAGTCTAAAAACATAAAGGTAAAGACAATAAAGGACATAAGGTTGAGCCCTCTAATACAATGAGGACTCACCATTCTTCTTCTTCTTGATCTCTTATGAACCTAGCCCCGAGGGTCGAATCCAAAATCTCCAAAGCCTACACTTATAGAAAATGTAGAAAGAAAGGGGTTAGCACGAAAACGTACTAAGTATGGAAGCCATGCACAAAACCATTTAAAACATGCTTGAAAAGGGACATTTCACTTGAAATCATGCTTTATGCTATTTTGAACATCATCTTTGAAATAGTTAGAGAATGTAACCAATAAGGCAACTCACATACATTTCATCATAACATAAGAGATATCATTACAATCACAAGCGTAGTCTCCAATATCAATATAACACACATCCCAATCTCAAAAATACATAGCCTCCAATCATAAAGTAGTATAAGACAAATACCAAGATTATCTCATCATTAAGTAATCTTCACATAAATACTCCTATGAAACACTTGTACAACATAAGCCAATATCACATTCCTACTCATTTCATGATAAAGTCATTACCTTAGTAACCCCTAAAGAACACTTCTGCAATGTGTGGTTGGCATCCCATAATTCCAACCCTACTAAGCACTCTTTTGAGGCTACTTTGGTTATGCAATTTATCTTTAAGCCTCAATATAATCAATAGTCACAATTAAGGAAGTAGTCATGTACATTACTTGAATTATAAGGAAAGTCAAGCATAGTAATAACTCAAGGGAGCATGCAACAATTCAATAATCATCATTTCATAAAGACACCACCCATAACCCCCTTTCAAGTTCACTTGTGCAATGTACATATGAAGTCCCATACCCCCATATATACTAACTAAAGCCATAAAGAAGTCACAAGTGTAGCCTCCTACATAATCAACATCATAATAGGTGAAATCAACCTTAACATCATTCATAAGTTGTTATACATAAATGACTCACACAAGAACTCCTCTTAGGACCTACTTGTGCAATGTATAGGTAAAGTCCCATACCCTCACCTATACTAAGAAGTGCCCCTCAAGAAGCCTTAATTAAAGTTTATATTCTTAATCATAGGTCATAGTCATATCTTATTTCATATTCTTAAAACATAGGGAGATTAGCAATAACCGACATAGACCATGTGAGCTACATGGAATTCAATGTTCTATCCCCACACCGAAAAGAGGTGTCTCACTTGGCTAAGGTAAAACTAACAATATTAGCGTCAAGGTGGATCCACTAGCTAATGACCTATGTGGGCACATAGTTACAGAACAAGGAGATTGCTACTAGAAACCTGAACTTGCTAAACGTAGAAGGTTTCCATCTCATGAGACATCATATATATATCGGGAACCCGGACTTG